AAATTTCTATGTATTTATGATCATCTAAAACTGTACCAAGAGGATATTAACCACCTAAACAGATCTAAAACACATAATGAAATTGAAGAAGCAATAAAGAGCAAAAAAGGAAAGTCCAGGACACGACAGATTCTCTGCTGAATTCTACCAGACCATTAAAGAAAAACTAATACTAATACTCCTTAAACTTTTCCATGTAATAGAAAGGTAAGGAACACTGCCTAACTCATTCTATGAAGCCAGTATTGCACTCACTCCAAAACCAGATAAGGATATATCCTAAAAGGAGAACTGCAAGCCAATCTCATTAATGAACACTAATGCAAAAATCCTCAATAAAATAATGGCAAACCAAATCCAACACCATACCAGAAAGATCATTCACCATGACCATGTTTGCTTCATTCCAGGGATGCAGGGATGGCTCATCATACACAAATCAATAAATGTCATACAGCACATTAATACAAGCAAAGACAAAAAACACTTCATCATTTCAATAGATGGAGAAAAAGCCTTTGATAAGAGTCAACACCATTTCATGATAAAAGCTCTAAGAAAATTAAGAATATAAGGATGTACATCAACATTATAAAGGTTATATATTACAAAACTATAGCCAACATCACACTTAATGGGGGAAAAATGAAACCATTTCCCCTAAAGTGAGGAATGAGACAAGGATGCCCACTCTCCCCACTCGTATTCATCATAGTCCTGAAATTCCTAGCCAAAGCAACAAGACAAGAAGAAGAAAGAAAAGGAATATGAATAGGTAAAGAAATAGTCAAAGTATCTCTGTTTGAAGACAACATGATCTTATACCCCAAAGACCCGAAAAACTCCACCCAAAAACTCCTAGACATCATAAACATCTTCAGTAAAGTAGCAGGACACAAAATCAACTTACAAAAATAAGTAGCCTTTTTATACACCCACAATGAACAAATTGAGAATGAATATAGGAAAACAATTTCACTTACAATAGCCTCAAAAAAAGTCAAATACCTAGGAATAAGCTTAACAAAGGATGTAAATGATTTCTATAAAAAGAACTATAAACCTCTGAAGAAAGAGATTGATGAAGACTACAGAAGGTAGAAAGATCTCCCATGCTCATGGGTTGGCAGAATCAACATAATAAAAATGGCTATACTACCCAAAGCAATCTACATGTTCAATGCAATTCCCATCAAAATCCCAATGACATTCACCAAAGAGATTGGAAAATTTACCCTAAAGTTCATTTGGGAACACAAAAGACTTAATAGCCAAAGCAATACTGAGCAAAAAGAGCAATGCTAGAGGTAGCCCAATACCTGACTTCAAACTACACTACAGAGCCATAGTAATAAAAATAGCATGATACTGGCACAAAAACAGATATAAAAACCAGGTTAACAGAATAGAGGACTTGGACATGAATCCACCCAGCTACACCCAACTTTTTTTTGCCAAAAACATAATGATGGAGAAAAGACAGCCTCTTCAACAAATGTTGCTGAAAAAAGTGGTTTTCTGCCCGCAGAAAACTGAAACTAGATCCATGTCTATCACCCTGTACTAGTATCAACTCAAAGTGGATTAAGGACTTTAGTAGCAGATCTGAAACCTTGTGGTTAGAATAGGAAAGAGCAGGGAATATTCTGGAAGCAATAGATATAGGCAAAGACTTCATCAGTAGAACTCAAGTGCCCCAGCAACTAAGTGAAAGGATGGACAAATGGGACTACATGAAATTAAAAAGCTTCTGCACAACAAAACAAATGGTCTCTACATGGAATAGACCACCCACAGAGTGGTTGAAAAATCTTTGGTAGCTATATATCAAAGAACTGATAACTAGAATAAACAGGGAGCTCAAAAAACTAAACTCCTCAAAACTAACTGAACCAATAAAGAAGTGAGCAACTGAATTAAACAGAACTTTTTCAAAGGAAGAAATCCAAATGACCAAAAAAACCATGAAAAAATGTACACCATCCCTGGCCATAAAGGAAATGCAAATCTAAACCACACTAAGATTCCACCTCCCTCATGTTAAGGATAACTATCATCAAGAACACCACCAACAACAAATGTTGGTGAGGATGTGGGAAAAAGGAGCCCTCATGCACTGCTGGTAGGAAAGTAAGCTGGTACAACCACTTTGGAAAACAATATGGAGGCTTCTTTAAAAACTAAACATGAATTGGCCCATATGATCCAGCAATACCACTCCTAGGGATATATCCGAAGGAATGTATCTCAGGTTATTACAAAGGCACATGTACACCCATGTTTATTGCAGCACTATTCACAATTGCCAAGCTATGGAAACAACCAAGATTTCCCAATGTGAATGGATGTATTAAGAAAATGTGGTATTTATACACAATAGAATTTTATTCAGCCACAAAGAAGAATGAAATCTTGTCATTCACAAATAAATGAATGGAACTAGAGAACATTATCCAAAGTGAAATTAGCCAGGCTCAGAAGGCCAAAAATCTCATGTTCTCCCTCATATGATTATAGACCTAAAACAAATGCAATAATATTATTGGACATGGGTCATATACTAAGGGGAGAATGAACATCAGAGGAATAGGAAAAGGGAAGGAAACCTAAAATGTGAATGTGGTTGATGTGCTCACTGCAGAAGAGCCAATTTAGTAATCTTAAACTGCCATTGGTCACTATAGGAAGGGGAGTAGGAAGTATGGAAGAGGTCTGATAGAGACGAACCAATGTGGGTTTTAATACAGCCAACACTAGGAATCTCTCTGTATAACTAACTTTATCTCAAACTTGCAAAAATGCTATGTCTTTCTTATTATCTCTTATTTTTCCTCTTCAACAAAATTGGAGAACAAGAGGGCAGACCAGGTTCTGCCCGGAATTGTGTGGGGGCGGGGGTCATGTGGAGGTGAAATAAACAATGTATATATATGTGAGTAAATGTTAAAATGATAAAATAAAGAAATAAAAATAAAGAAATAAACAAAAAATACAATGCAATAGCTGTGGAGGAGAGGAATACAGAGAAGGGAGACCCACAGATTAAGCAGCAAGCATAGCTTGGAACAAAAACTAGCTGATCTTAATGAGATAACAATTCTGTTCTGTTCTGCTCCACTTATATTTTGACATTTAACTGCTATCTCAATGTCTCAACAACCTCTTGGTGAAACTAAATGTGCTGGACTGTCAAAGGAGATGACTTCATCCCCTTCGCAATACAGAGGATATTTCTCACTGAGGTACATCCATGGGATGATGGAGGAACTGCCTAAGGGCAGTTGCAAAAGGTAGTAACCAGAGTATCACTGTAGTCTGAGGAAGAGGCACCAGCTGAACTGGTTCTTATGTGGAAAATTCTTTCTTTACAGTTAGCCTTTTATCAGAGCACAGCAAAGTATGGGAATTTCTTACCTGCCATTATTTTCTGGGAGCACTAGGCTCAAGTAAAACATCCTAGGCCTGGTTTACACCCCATGATCTGAGTCTCTTAAAAAATTCATAGCAACTATGATTATAATCTGTACTTAGAAATTTCTTTTGCTAAAAACCAATAACTCTTTACCTGGGCTCACAAATTAACTAAAAGCAAGAGAAAAGCTTGGCATTTCTGTGTCTGTCTTTGCTCTGAGCTTTTCTCTCCTCTCTGCAATCAGTTTGTAATCACCTTGGAATCCAGAAAGGAAGGACAGACTGATGATAACAGCTTCACTACATCTTAGAAAAGGCATCTCATGGCAACTAAATTGCTCCCTCAAGTGATAACAACTTCACCAGAACTGTTTCACAACCAGAACTGAGACAGTGATCAGTCAAGCCACACTGTTGACTGAGAATGTTTAACAATGCATACCTCTCTCCCTCTACCAAAATTATTTCTCTATTTCAGCATAAAGTTCATGCCTGAACCCCAAAGATGGGCTGAATTGCTAACTTTGCCTCTTCCTGTTATAAATCTCTTTTCTCTGCTCTTTACCACTACTCATCTTTTTATTTGGTGTTCTGAGTTAAGTGGCCAGACCTGACTTGTGGAACCTCTAGAGGTAGGGCTTGTGGGCTAGACTCCTGTTTCATCTTTAGTGAGGACTCCATAGCACAGAACTGTCAGAAGAACCAACAAAAAAAATCACCTAACATTGTGCAAACTAAAAAAACTACCTTTTCTTTAGAGTTAAGCAAACTACTTTGCTCTCTCTGGGACATTCTTTGCCCAGAGGCAAGAGACCTGGCAACTTAGATTCCCTTGGAGATGCTCTGTGGCGTCTACTCAGACCATGAGTGAATTCTTTGCAAAGGGAGGAAGTGTTTGGAGAAGTCATGAGAGCAAGGCCTGGTTCTCCAATAAGCTCTCCCTCAGTGGGCTCATTACAAAGAGGGACTTGTGGAAGTAAATCCAACTATCACACATGTAGATCACTGTCATTCTCTTACTCACCATTCGCCTATCCAGGTCATTAATTCTCTAAAAGAGTGGTTTGCATATTCATATCGGTGTCCCCTTAAAGCAACTGAGTCTTTCTGCCAGTAAGCTCTGGGGCTGGTGCACTTTCATATGTGGTATGCTGGGGAGAAAATTAGAGAGGGCAAAACAGAATACAGTTCCCTGGCACAGGAGAAGAAGCTGTGGAACTGAAGGGCTGGAGAAGAAATGTGGGAATCAGTTCTGTTCTGGTCAACAAAGAGACACTCCGTTCATGTTAGAAGCCCTGGTAGATTTGGAATCATTCTGAGTAAAACACCTAGTAAAACACTTGGATCTCTGGGAGAAGTTGGTGAAACCTTATCTTTACAACTATCTCATTTTGTTCTTTGGATCTGCTGTATAGATAGATCACCAAGAGGGGTTTTTGGATGATAAACCTCATGTAGTTCATTTTACAACAGTAATGTGGGAACTAAAATAAGTTGTTGAGAGTTGCAGGCCAAAACAGGATCTGATCCAACAACGCTGTTGCTATCAACAGCCCTGGATGGAATGATGCCCAGGTTGGGGAGATGCCTCATCCTCCCATTCTCCCTCCCTCCTTTCCGAACTCCCTGTCACCTTTTAACAGCCTTCTCAGTGCCCCCTTCACCTCCTTGTTTCTGAGGGTGTAGATCAGAGGATTGAGAAGTGGGGTAACAATGTTGTAAATGAGGGTGAGGAACTTTCCCTGATCCTGAGAGGAGCTGTTTCCTGGCTGCATGTACATGTAGATGATGTTTCCATAGAAAAGGGAGACTACAGTGAGATGAGAGCCACACGTGTTAAAGGCCTTTTGCCTCCCTGATGATGACTGAATTTGTAACACAGCCCTCACAATGTAGCCATAAGAGACCAAGATAAACACCAAGGGTGACAGCACAATGCCCACTGCCAGGACAAACACAGTGCCTTCAATGGCAGCTGTGTTGACACAGGCCATCCTGATCAGAGCTGGCATCTCACACAGGAAGTGGTCCACGTGGTAGTGCCTACAACGGGGTAAGCCTAGAGTCACTGGAGACATAATCAAAGAGTTGGCCACCCCACAGCCCCAAGCCACCAACACCAAACCCAGGCAGAGTTTGGGACTCATGATCACTGTGTAGTGAAGGGGCTTGCAGACAGCAGCAAACCGGTCATACGCCATTACAGCCAGAAGCAGGCACTCCACACTCCCAAGACCCAGGAATAGGAAGAGCTGGATGACACAGCCTGTGTAGCTGATGGTCTTGTCATGTCCATTAAGATTATAGAGCAGCTGAGGGATTGAGCTAGTGGTGAAACTGAGGTCCAAGAAGGAGAGGTGGGTGAGGAAGTAGTACATGGGAGTGTGAAGGTGGGGGTCCAGCCGGGATACCAGGATGATGATGGTATTGCCCATAAGAGTCAGAAGATAGGCTACCAATATGACCACAAAGAGGATCCTCTCCAAATTGGGGCGGTCAGAAAAACCCAAAAGGATGAAATAGTTCTGGGTGCTGTCATTAGCTCCATCCATTTCTATTGCACCTGAAGAAAAATGTGAATACTAAAATCATAACAGCAGATAGTAAGGGTGCACTAGTAAGTCAGGCATTTTGTGCTTTTTACATTCATTTACTCATCTGGCCCAACAACAATAGGGACTCGACACTATTACTATCATCCCAACCTACAGGAAAACAAACTGAAACACATGTGGGTTAACAAATTGTCATACATAGAAAGGGGCAGAGTGGAATTTGAACCCCAAAAATGTGACTTAGATCTTTATCTTTAACCCCTACCAGTCCTGCCTCCAATTTCAATAAAGTGAGAAAAAAAATCCTGCCATGACCCAACCTTTTATTCTTCTAAAAACCCACATTCCCAAACTCCTGACAAAACCTGGAAACATGAAATACTCAAAAAATAAATTAACAGTATTCATAAAATACCAAATACAGGTTTGAATAACATAGATCCACTTTCATACAGATTGTTTTAAATAAATTTATTGGAAAAAATTTAGGAAATTTGCAACAAATTGAAAAAACTCAAGAACAAACTATATAGCACATGATTATCAAAAAAATTAAGAAAAAGTTTGATTTGTCATGAATGCATTAAATATGTGTAGCTAAAAGTACATGTTGTTATTGCAGTGGAGAGAATTGTGAAGAAACGTAAAGATGAAGTACTAAATTAACTGGGTAAAATTAACTGTGGCACAAATTGTATTTTCAGATCCACGTTGTAGCCTCTGTATGTTGCTATTGCTGTGAACTGAAGCATTTAGAGTATCTGTCAGAAACACTTGTATGACATTCCTTACTTCTGATTGAGCAGTTCATCTTTCCATTAAATGCTGTATAGCAGTAAAAAGTGATCTTTTAGGATTCTTGAACACTTTTCACTGTATATTACACATATGACATGCAAAATACATGTTGATGGACCGTTTATGTTACCTGTCAGGCTTCTGTACAATATCAAGGTACTAGTCGCTAATTTCAAGGGAAGTCAAATGCTTTACACAAGTTTCAGACTGTGAAAATGGTCCACACCCTTAACACTCATGTTGTTCATGGGTCAACTTTATATCCAAAATACTCTTGATCCCAAAAATACACCTCATCAATTTTATTATTACTGTTGAAGTAATTTTAGATGACCTGAGTAGAAAAATAGTACATGAGATAATAGATTAGTAAAGTAACATACACAGAAAACATGTCTTTGTTGGGTTTGGAACTGAAGAAATAACAGTATTTGTTTTTTTCTTCCAAAGTATATGGAAAAAAAAATCACTGCTTGAAGAAAAAAAATCACAAAATTTATAATAAATAATGCAATTTTAATGCAAAAAATGACATACATGTACAGAAACCTGTATCAAATTCCACCTTATAAAATGTATCACTTTCTAACCAAAGCATGTTGGGTGATATAAGCCACAAGTTTTGCAGACCAAGATTAATCAGCTCTAGCAATAGTGCCAAATGTCTCTGTTAAAATCCTGGAACAACAGGATATGATTATAATATTATGGAAAGTTCATTTCAGAATTTTCTCATCTAAATGGTAGTAATGAATGTAACTGACTTATTTTAAAATATCATTTGAAATTTTAATATATATAAAATACAAATGTATAAAATATATAAAAGTCTGATAAATATAGAAGTTTCCATGTATGTTAAATAAAGCTGATGTGGCATGTAAACAGAGAATAGGAAAATAAGACCAAGAGATTAAACACAGAAATTTTGAAGAAAAAAAAATCTATGAGGACAAAGTACATTAAAATATATCTAAACATACTTTGAAAATAAAATCATTAAAACATAAACTGCCAAGCACAGGAGTACAATCCTATGATTCCAGCACTTTGGAGGTAAAAAGGCAGAAAGACCATGATTTCAAGGTCAGCTTAGGCTACATAACAAGACCATGACACAGAAAGGGAGACAACAAACAAACAAAAATCTGAAAAAACAAAAAACTCAACCCAAGATGTGTCTCAGTGGTGAAGCATTCACATTGCATGCACAATGTCCCAGGTTCAATACCTTGTGCTGCAAACAAACAAACAAACAAAAACAAAGACAAAATATAGTAACTTACAAAATTTTGTGGAGAAGAGGCTAGACCCCTACCTTACTCTTTATCCCAAAACAAATCACAAGTAATATCATAAACATCTGAAAATATAAGTACTATAAGAAGACATGATGATTTTTTTCTTGATCATCTTGGAGTGTTAAATTTCATAAGCCAACTCTCAATCCTCAAAACCTGTGAAGTAAAATAAGAATTAACTTGATTTCATACTAAAACATCTATAGTATAGGAAACACTACTACTATCATCTTAAAAATGACAATAGTAGTAATTTCAGCAAGACAATTCAAAGTCTCCTTGCTTAATTTTTTTTGAAAATTGGCAAGAACCAGGCACTGGTTGCCTATGCCTATAATCCTCATTGCTTGGAGGTTGAGCTTGGAAGGATAACAGTTCAAGGCTCAGCCTGGGCAAAAAGTTATGAAGACCCCAATTACCATGGAAAAAAGCTGAGTGTATTGATGAGTGCCTGTCATTGTATGGTGGGTAGCTTAAAATGGAGGATCACAGTCCAGGCTGGTTTCAGAAAAGGCAAGACCCCTCACCTCCAAAACAACCGGAGCCAAAATGGCTGCAGGTATGACTCAAGCAGTAGAGCACCTACTTAGCAAGCTGGAATCCATGAGTTTAAATTCAGTACTACTGCCAAAAATAATTGGCAAGAAAATCCTATCACAAAATAAAATTAGTAATAACTTGGAGGAACATTTTACAAGAAAATAACTGCTTTTCAGGCAAATGACTTACTTTATTTTTTTTTCATTTTTCTTTTATTATTCATATGTGCATACAAGGCTTGGTTTATTTCTCCCCCCTGCCCCCACCCCCTCCCTTACCACCCACTCCACCCCCTCCCGCTCCCCCCCTCAATACCCAGCAGAAACTATTTTGCCCTTATCTCTAATTTTGTTGTAGAGAGAGTATAAGCAATAATAGGAAGGAACAAGGGGTTTTGCTGGTTGAGATAAGGATAGCTATACAGGGCATTGACTCACATTGATTTCCTGTGCGTGGGTGTTGAAATGCTCTCAATGATGATTGAGGATATAAAGTTAAAATAAGAATATTTACATTTTAGATAGGTAAATATAAAAATTAAAAGTGTGGTGATATCCAGCATAGTGAATGTAGAAAATGAGGACTGGGTATGGTGGCTCACACTTAAAATCTCAACTATTTGGGAGGCAGAGATCAGGGGGATGAGTTTTGAGGCTGATCTAGGCAAAAAATTAGTAACACCCACCTCAAGAAATTAGGTGGGCGTGGCAGCACATGCCTGTGGTTATTCAGGAGGCTTAGGTTGGAGGATCATGGTCAGAGACCAGTCCCCCAGACAAAAATGAAAGATCCTATCCAAAAAATAACTAAAGCTAAAAAGGTCTAGGGCATGACTCAAGTGGTAGAGTGTAGGCCCCAAAGTTCAAAGCCCAGTAGTGTCACACACACAAAATAAAGTGTGGCAAATAAGCCCATTTTCATATACTCTTGATGGGATTTTAAATTGGAATAGTATCTTTGAAGAGATATTTTTAAAAGATCACTACTTAAAAATACTTGCATCTTGACATTTTACATGTTACTTTAACAGAAGAAACTTCTTTCTTTCATAAAATTTAAAACATTCCTTTCCACATTAATTGCACATCCAGAAATCTGCCCTCCATTTATTAACCCTCAATCAGTACATATACATCCTCAAATTCTTCAATACTCAGAAGAAGCAATGCTTTTACTTTAAGTTAAAGACCTTATTAAATACATAATAAGGCTTTTATGGAGTTGAAACAAATAGTTACTAAATTCAAATAAGTATAGTTATACGCATCAGATGAAATTTGTCCACTGAAAAGGTATTAATTTCAAAAAGTAGGAAACAAAACATAATGTGCAGTGAGATTATATGTAACATGATTCCATTGTTTTGGTCACAAACTCTCTCTCTCTCTCTCTCTCTCTTCCTGTATATCTGGTCTATCTATCACCAATCTATCACCATCTATCTATCTATCTATCTATCTATCACTATCTATCTATCTGTCTATCTATCTATCTATCTATCTATCTATCTATCTTTCTACCTATCTATATTAAAGTAGCACCAGTATCTGGAAGGATACACTTTTATAGTGAGATAGTGGTTAAGGGAGACTTTCATGTTCATATAATCTCTTCTATAAAATAATTAATAATCACAAATCATTTGTTTTTTAAAAGGAATGCAGAAATAAGTATGCATATAGTATATGACTCTTAGAAAAGTTCCCTATGGGTGATTTTTTTGCGGAGGACTTGGTTTGAACTCAGCTTTACGCTTGCAAAGCAAGTGCTCTACTGCTTGAGCCACACCTCCAGTTCATTTTTCTTTGGTTATTTTGTAGATTGGCTGCCATGAACTATTCACCCAGGCTAACTTTGAACTATAAGCCTACCGATCAGCCTCCCAAACAGCTAGGATTACAGACCCTATAAGTGATTTTTTAAAAAATTTAACATCTTTTAGCTTTCTCATTCTTCTATTCAGAAATTATTGCCTCATGCCTCTTAGTACCACTTTTTGTCTAAAAATTAATGAACTGAAAAAGGAGGAAAAGAAGGAAGAAAGGGAGGCAGAAAAGACAAAAGACTAAAATGAATTTCCAATCACCATAATACTTCAACAGTTTTAAAACAAACTATTTTATAATTTCATGGTGCTTAAATTGTGAATTCTGTGAAATACAAGAGTGAGTACTAGGTGCTACAACTAGGGCCAGATATAATGAAAGGGCCTGGGTTTGATTTTCAGGACAGCTTGAGCTAGTAACTCTTTTTTCTTCTTTTCTTTTTTAGGTGCTTGGGATGGAATCCAGGGCTTTGTGCATGTTAGAGATTCCAGCACATAATTCTTCTTAGTCCTTGTTTTCTCAAGTGTAAATTGAGGTCAAGAATGACTTTCTTAGGGAAGGTTTTGTCAAATTTTAAGCAAGATGTTGCCTCATTTCTTTCCTTAAAAAGAAACAGAAAAATAAACAAAACCAATGGCACCTAGGCTTTCAGGCATTCAACAAATGTGTCTGTTCTGGTGGCCAGAGATCTTTATTGATACCCCTGAATAAATCCATTAGTTCAAACTTGATTCTACATGATATTTTTTAAAACTAGAACTGAACATTGTCTCTCCCTAAAATTAAAATAAAATCAAAACAGGAACAGCAAAAATACGAGACATGAGTGCCACTCTTCCCATAGCTGTTCCTGGAAGGTAGTGTCCACAAGGTAGCACTTACCTCTCCCCATGGGAGAAAGGCTCTCTTTCAAGGAGTACACAGCACCTTCACTTCCTAAAATGCTCTGGGAAGGGACAAATGCTCTCCAAATTCAAACTTTGGAGGGATATATTGATCCTCTTTCCTTCTCTCTTTTTTGTCACACTGCTCCAGTATTTGCAGTCCCCTATTCCCCCAACAATTAATTCTTTGGACGGCCTTTCTATGGTTGCTCTAAATGTCATATTTAGTCTGATTAGTGACCTCTTCTTGCACATAGCAGCTTTTCCCAAATTTCACATGGACTTATCCCACTACTCTTCCAAGTTCCTCTCCAAGTGTGTATGTGTGTGTGTGGGGGGTGAACTGAGCAATATCCATCTTTTTATTTTTTATACCTGGGCTCAGAGTAGGAGCTTGGATCAAGCAACGAGCAATTCAGCAGTTAACTAGTTAACATGGCAGGTCAAGTCTTCCTTACCTTGGGGAAGCCCTTCTTCATCATGGCTCAAACTGGGAAACACAGAAAGGTAGTACCAGGCACTGAACTGCAGACCTGAGTTCTCCCCAAACTGGTGTGTGGTGACATATGGAAAATACAAGAAAGGGACTGAAGATACAGGATTTTCATACATGATGTTGCATGGATTTGAAAACAGCAGAGCTGTTTACCTGCATGACATTGTGCAAACAGTGTATTACAAGGTGACAGTTATTTCTCCCTGTGGTTAATGACCAAACAGCTAGAAAACTATTGTCCCCAAGTGCACTGTTCCATCCCAGACACATTCATACTCAAGCCACAACGAAGGACATGTATTTATTGCAATTTCTAGAGGACAGGGAGTATTCATAAGGTTAAAATTTTAGATTGTTTTAAAATAAAATGATAATTAAATTAGTTTAATTTAAAAATATTTAACTTGCAGTCTTGAAGATTAAAGAGATTGAAACTAATAAAAAAGTATGAGTACAATAACAAAATGATGGGAAATGGAACCTGTATTTTCAGAGCAGGGAGCAAAGCTGATGAATTTTCTGTTTCACCACAAGAGACTGCTTTTGAGGTTTAGAAGTCAAAATAATGCTTGTATCTCAGATATCATTTTCTCATTTCTGCTTGACAAATATCAATCTTCTTTTCCCAACAAACTCCAATTGCAATATTTAAATATTATCTTGTATTTCATATGTTGTCTGCTCAACACTTTTATACTTAGTCTAGTGAAAAGAGTTTTTTTGATAAATTTGCTTCATAATAGTTAAACAACACGAGTTGCAATATGCTTGTATGTGTTTCTGTGTCTTGGTGTGTCTATCATAATCTATAAACTTTTCAAAAGCAACGAAGAGGCTCTTCATTTTCTTTTTCCTATACCTTTAAAGCTTTTTTTAAATTTAAGGGCTAAGGATCTAATCCAGGGTCTTGTGCATGCTAGGCAAATATTCTGCCACTGAGCTATACCCACAGCCTGGCTTTTTTACTTAACAAATTAACTGAGAAGTGCAGATCTCTGACATTAGCTCCTAATTCCAGAAGTCTACTCACCATTCCTATGCTGCTAGGTACCATTGAAAATCAGATTGCAGAAGACACACCTCTAGCAGGAGGGTATCAGTTGGATCATGAAATGTCTTCTTCCCTCTTAGAATAAGAGCTGTTGCAGACAAGGCAACTCCAGACATGAGAGGAAATGAAGGCACCTCTCCAAGGCTTGGCTAATTCCTCTATTCAAAGGACCACAGTATTTTCAGAGGAGTTTTTGCAACAGAAGGTTGATGCAACTCTCCTGAGGGTAGAGAGGGACCTCCATGGCAGTCTAGGTTCATCAGCATCACCCAATCTTCCACAAGTGGAATAGTGGTCAGCATCCCATCAGCAAACCCAAGTTCTGAGTTATTAGCAGATACACAGAGGCATCTTGTAGGTGTGCATCATCTCAAACTCTCTAGTCTCCCTAGGGTCCAGACAGAAAATGAGGACCATGAGATTCTGTCCCTTGATATAAAAAGGATATATTGCTTCATGCAAGCAAAATTGGGGCAATCAACCCATTCTTTTTCAAAAGACAAAAACACTCATGGGCTATTTGCTTCCCTCCCCTGTTTCCAAGAATTATCTATCATGTGACCAGAAAAGCAGCTGAGCCACTATCAGTCGAATCCTATTTAGACCAAGATCACACTTATTGTACTAAGATCTACTGAAAATAAGGCTAAAGCATTTGACATCTTTTTACTAATAATTTCATATATGAAATAGAACCCATTGTCCTACCCAGTGAAAGATCATAGTGCATGGGTTAATAGAAAGCTTATTAAGGAGCTAATGAAGTGAGCTTATTTTATTATATTTATTTTTAAATTTTTATATTTGAAAGGAAGATGTCCTCATACATGGGCTTATATTTTAGTTTCAAGAGCTGGAAAGATATTGAAAAAATATCTTGAAATTTCCCTATTCATTAAATAATGACTATGTATCCAAAGTTATTATTTTTAATTGTGATGCTAAGGATTGAACTCAGGGCCTCACACATGCTCTACCACTCAGGTATACTTCCAACCCTGTGTCCATGTTTTTAATATTTCTTTAGAGTCAAAAATGGCATCACAAGTCTCAAAATTAAATGAAAAATAAAGAAAAAATTAAGCAAATAGAAACGGAGTCCCTGATATCAGTAAGGCAGTATCAGAAAAAAAGCAGACTAATTAGTTTGAGTCAATTGACTAAGGAGCTAATCAAAATGATTCTAAGTCACAGAATTAAAGAGAATATTGCATAGAGGGGAATGTGTACAGTTGTAGATTTCTAGATATGTCTTTGGCTCATATGCAGACCACATCCATACTTCCTTCCTCCCTGTGTAATAGAACAGATCCACAAAAGGCCCCCAAGCAAACAGCAATCATACAATGAGAGGCTGGTGCTAGGTGAGCAGACAGGTTTAATAAATCCCAGTGCTTCCAATTTCTCTTTCCTTTGGGATTCCACCACTCTTAGTTTGTTCTAATACTTTTGCTGGCTAATAAGGCTATTTTACTCCCACTTCAGACTGGCTTCACATATTTGGCTCCTCCCCATTTCTCTGATTTTGGGCCTTCTCAGCATGCTGGGAAGAGTAATCTAAATAGCCAACTCATACAATTAGCTTATTTAGCTGTCACCTGATTCTGGACAAGAGGACCAGTGGAGAGAAAATTAAGTTATTTGAATCAATTATCCACTCTTCTGGAACATAGGCATAACTTAGAGATCTACAGCTTAGGAAAAACTAAAATCTAAAGTTAGGATTTCACTTTTAACTATTCTGTTTTAAGCTATTCTTTATAAAAAAGCAAGTTTGGTAATTGTTGGAGCAGCACTGAGGATATGTGAGAAGGGAAATAATAGGCTAGAAAAAATGCTGCATGTAATAACAAATGGGTGAACAGCTGAGGGAAGATGGGAGGACTGCAGATCCAAGAGAACCTAATTGTAGAGGGAGTGGTTCTGGCATAGCATTCAGATGAAGAGAGGCACAGAAGTCATAAAAGATTCCAATTTTTTCAAAGTCCATTTTATTAGTTCTAAGTTCACCACATTCCTAACCAGTATAACATTTTCAGATATAGGTATAGAGTGAAAATGAGGCAATGAACAATTCAACAGTATCACTGTGATGTCACAAGGAACCCAAACAATAGCATATTCAATGGAACTATGCCTGAGAACACAAGTTATAATGTTACTACAATCCATGATTGCTTCAAGCTTGGCATTGCTAAAATTTTCTTTCTTCCTAAAATTGATTTTTACTCATTTAGCATTTGGTAGTAAACTTTATTGGACCATGGATGTTTAATTACAAATAATAATGATGTTACTTTAATCTATTACTTTTTACAAAGCACTTTTGGGTTGATCACTTAATTCTGCTTTCCACAGTCATTCATTTGCTCATTCACAATATGCATTCAGTGATAACCACATACAAAGTGTCTGAGGTGCATGCAATATGTTGAAGAAAATATTGTCAAGAGACAACCTTCCCCTCATAGCACCCTACCACAAAAGGACAATTAAATTAACAAATAAATAAAAATCTTAATAAATAAGTCCCAGAATAAAGAGAACAGAAAGTAACTGAATATAGTGATAGGAAACATGAATGTATAAAAGAATGATTCTGAATATGTTAGTGTAGTAAGAAATATAAGGTTAAGCAATAAGAGGTATAAAGCAAAAGAAAAAGGAAAGAATAAGAGAGAGAAAGACTGATACAAAGAGAAAGAGGAGAGAGAGAGAGAATTTAAATGGGGAAGAAAAAATGAAGAATTATGGATCAGATCTGAAATAATAACAGGCTGTTTTGAGTTAATTAAAGAATTGTCATTTCTAAGCTGGGCATGGTGGTGCATGTCAATAATCCCAGCACTGGGGAGGCTGAGGCAGGAAGATCATGAGATCTAAGATAGCCTGAGTCACATGGAGAGACTCCATCTCAAGAAAAGGTAGACTTTCCATTTCTAAATATTAACATATGGAATATTAAGAATGAAAGGATATGAAAATGAATAAAAATTATAATGCAAGTATAAAAATATTGATTTAAAACATGGTTATTAATATGAAAGATAACCTGTCCAGAAAGTACATTATGGGTTGGGGGGTGGCTCAAGTTGTACAGCACCTGGCTAGCAACTGCAAGGCCCTGAGTTCAAACCTCAGTACAACCAAAACAAAAAAGAAAAAAAGGACAAAGAAAGTAGAAAATAATGTCAAGACATCTGGAAATAGAGTTTGATGAGACTACTCCATTTCCAAAATGATTATATACTCCACACCATTCTTTCATATGCAAATACTTCTCATCTTCTCTTTTGCCTTTATGGGAAAATCTCCATAGCAACAAAGAAAGTGCTGACCCAATTGTTGAAAATTAGTGTATTTACAAATTATAAGGCCACATTCCAGGGGCCTTTGTCAGGTTACCATCCTTTTCTGAGACCAAAATTTTAGGAACACTCATCTCTCATACTACAACAAAAGTCAAGATGTCCCCTGGATGCCCAGTCTCCCCACCCTGCTTCTGTCACAGGTGGCAAGAGAAGAGGAGTCATGTCACAGATGAAAAAATAGGGTCGGAGAACACCAGAGAACAGTTGGTTGAACGTGTAAATATAAGACCCATCAGATGCGTTGTAAAATGAGATTTCACCAGCTTCATAGTCCAAGAAAATCCCAATGCGTCGAGGTCGCTGGAGTTGGAGTAGCGGCACAGATGGGGAGGCTAGGACCATGTACTCGCTCCCTTTCAGCAGCCACATGGCCCAGACACCGTTCTCTGGGGACGGTGTGGTTTCTCCCTTTCTTGGCGCTTCCTCCTGACAGACGCCTAAACCCCATTCTGCTCTTTCTCCCACCACAACCTCCCAGTAGTGCCTTCCTGATGAGAAGCTCTGTAGGCCCAGGACGCAGGGCCACGTGTCAAATCGCTCAGGGTTGCTGGGGACATCCTTCCACACCTCTCCATCCTGCACAGTGCGCAGGTCCGCGGTCAAGAGGAGGCTGGGATGCGCAGTGGCAGGATCCAGCCTTACATCAACTGAGGAAAGAATTTCATGACACATGAGAGGAAAGAAGGGCTTTGTAAAAACTTAGGTTTTTGTTTTTTTGTTTAAATTGAGGTGATGTTGATCGAACCCAAAGCCTTACACTCTACCACTGAGCTGCCATTCCACATATTGAGAACATATGGAACTTAAAACTTAGGAACCCACTTAGGAGCTTAGGAACTCACTTTTGTGTCTTTAATAAGTACTAGACAAAACAAATACACACTACTCTTGTGTATTTAATTGCTGAGGATATTCTTTATTTTCTGGTGTATTCCATTGTCACCTCTGTATTGTCCAGGAATCATTGTTTTGTTCGATAAAAATACAGACTTCAACAATATCACAAGCAAAATACATAATCATATAGATTCATTTCATCCATATCCAGAGCATTTGAATGTACTTAGGAGGATCTACCATATTTAAACAAAATTAATTTTATGATATCATTGTAAGCAGAAATGTAAAATGAATCACTTGACACACACCCTAATGTTACTTACCCTACTTTCTCTCTGGCTATTATGTTGGTGACAGGAGAGGTCAGTAGGATTTGGATTTGACATGTCATTACCAGGATTGAAGATGTAGGAATTACATGAGGATAAAACAATGGATCTCTAAGAACTTGAGAGCAGCCCCCAAGATAATCAGGAAAAAAGGTATCACAGTCTCATAACTGCTCAGATTCAGATATGTTTGGAAGTAGATTATTCCCTAGATGCATTAGAGAAGCCCAATGTGGCAATCACCCTGATTCTGACCTTGAGAAATCCTAAGTGGAAAGGCCAGGTAATTCCACCTTATGTCTTATCTTTGGGCCTGTGAGGTAATAAATGAGTGTGGTTTTAAGCAATAAGCGGTAATGTAATAAATTATATAACAAAAAAATATATATATGGTATTGTGAAGTCCCAGCAAGACTGATGTGACATTTGTCTTACACACTATTACTACTACTACCACCACTGCCACTACCATTGTTATTTATCTTTAAACTACTTCTAGTAGTTTAATTTTATTGATATCCAAACCTGAATGATCACATATGAGGCATTACAGGTACATTATCTATATTAAGCCATGAAACCACCTTAATGTGATCATTATCATCCCCATTACAGATGAGATTCAAAGTTAAAGAATTTATGTGACTTCCCCAAACTGCAGAGGGAGAAAACAACAGGCATTTTAATATAGGTTTCTGTGGAATTATGGGAGGTTTATTTAACATGTGTTTTGTCTTTGTATGCCACACCAGCTCCAACACCTTTCTCTGCTCCATTTATTACAATAAATAAATAATCTCTGAGAGTCTGTCTCCAGTACTTCTTTCTACCTTCTGTCTTAAACTCCTTTCCTCATCCTAACAGGATTATAACCCAACCAAACTGCTCTGCCCCTACTCAGTGACCTCCTCATTGATGGATGGCTAGTTGACAAGCCTGAAGGTTGAGTCCATAAATCAATGGTCAATGATTCAATCAATCATGTCTACACAAAAAACATTCCAGAAGGACTGAGGTCTTCCAGACAAGTGAACACACAGCGGTTCCTGGAAGGAAAAGCAGCCAGAAAGGGTGGAAGCTCCCCATGCTTTCTCCACACCTCACTTTATTCGTTTTCTTCCATTTGGCAGTTCATCTATGTCCTCTATCACATCCTTTACAATAGATGGCCAAGTATAAGTAGGTGTTCACTGAGTTCTATAAGTTGGACTAGAAAATTAATTAAACCCCAGGAAGAAATTATGAGAAATTCAATTGACAGCTGGCTAGTCAGAAGCACAAGCTACAACCTGCTTCTCATTGGCATCTGAAGTAGGGGGCAGTCTTGTTAGATGGACAGTCAACCTGTGGGATATGATGCCATCTCTAGGTTGATAGTGTCAGAAAAAGCTGAATTAGATACCCAGCTGGAGAACCTACTAGAAAACTGATTAGCTATTGGTGGGAGAAAATCCTGGTGACCTGAAGGGCTGGATTGTATGGACTGTGAAAGATAGGAGAAAAGATGTTTTCCTTTTTTCTTTTTTTTTTTTTAATAAACTTGCCCTTTTCCATAACTACAAGCACCAGCATGCAGGTAAAGCTCTCTCAGCATGGGACCTATAGAGAGAGAGGATGCCACACAGAAGCCCCCACAATACAGGAATGATAACATGCTCTCAAAATAAATCTTTGCTAATTTTTGGGTTCTGTTTGCTTCTGCTGCCTGACTGGCAAGTAACAAACTGCAACAACATCCAAACCCCAAGTATCATAGTTCCCCAAGCTCTGAAGATACAACCTACCTTGGAATTTCCTTAACATTTCCCTCATCCCAGGGATGTGACACACTGTCTTCAATTCCATGGGAATGGTCTCTGGTTCCAGCCGTGTGATAGTCTTACTTCTGGAAGGGCACAGAACTATCAGTTGTCAGTCTGGTTACCCACCAACTTCCTTGGTTCCTCCAGACCTCATCACTCATTCAAAAACAAAATTAGGGTAAAGGTATGGCTTAAGTAGAAGAAAAGGAAGGAAGGAAAGAAGGAAGGAAGGAAGGAAGGAAGGAAGGAAGGAAGGAAGGAAAGTAGGAAAGAAGGAAGGAAGGAGAAAACATACCTGTTCAAGGCTTCTCTCACACCCTGTAAGTGAAAGAGAAAGATGGACTTGTAAGAGTGATAGTCAGATCAGGATGCACCATAAAAATTTCTTTAGAAGTTATTGGGAATTGTTAGTGATTAAGATAAAAATAAAGAGGACAGTGGATCTCTGTTCATTAAAGTAAAAAATAGGCTATAATTTAATTTTCTCATGAACAGTATCAAACACACAAAGTTTAGGTTAATTTCCAGGAAATCTATCAATTTAACTGTTTTCTGAATTGATAATTCTATTTTTTTTCTTGTGGTACTGGGGTTTGAACTGAGGACCTAAGCCTTGAGTCACTCCACCAGCCCTTTTTTGTGAGGATTTTTTTGTGACAGGCTCTCTTGAACTATTTGCCTAAGCTGGCTTCAAACTGAGATCCTCCTGCTTTCTGCCTCCTGAGTGCCTAGGATTACAGGCATCAACCACCAACAATATGCTTGGCTATTTTAGTAGAGTTATATTCTGCACTTAATGCAGATGGAATTGGAGTAAAACAGATCTTAAATATTTATGAAACTTATTTCAGGAATGGAGGTAGGCAGAGATAGAAAATGTTGCCCTCAATGTCTCTGTAAAAGAGTCTCAAACTTCCAGTTCTTTGAACCACCACATCTGAGGCTACTCATGTGCCCTAAGTTCATAACAAAGGAAGTCATGGGGATGGGGCAAGATGATGGATTAGAAGTGCCCTCAGTTTTGACTTCATGAATCAGAAGACTCAGGTAACAAAGGATAAACTATGTTCTGAAGATAAAAAGAAAGGAAGAGCACCATAAATCATGAAAGATGTGGCAGAAAAGCTGAAAAGCATGGAGAAACAAAGGAAACAGAGAAAAGCAGAAAACATTCCTAAGCCCTGTCCTGGTTTCCTAAGTGAGGGAGAGGAAAGGTGGGGGATAACCCAAAGATCCAGTCACATTGTAAGCCAACTGCCCACATGACAGGTGTCAATTCTAGTTGCAGAATAAGCCCACACCTCCTGCAAGCCACACCCAGTGCAGGAATTTGGTGAAACAGACTGATGTAGTGCGGGAGGCCTACTTCAGTGAAGAAACACATTCTGTCATTCCCTTTCCACAGTAGCTGGAAAACTCAGCTACTGTGTATGGGTAGGAGACAGCCGTGAGAGGTGACAGTGGAGAAGGAGATGGTCTCACATGTACCTGCAGTGGACAGTACCAGCAGTGAAGGGTGTGGTAATCATAAGCCCTGCATTCCATGGAGAAGATCAAATCCCATTGCCTCAGTATAACAGAAGAGCACCAAGCTGATAACTGGTGTAGTACACAATCTGCAGGTCCTTTCTCTTACATGTGTTGGCTTCCAGGTAGGATTGAGAGACCTGAACCCAGACCCCCCAAATCACAGATTTACATATTTTCTACCCACTCCCCAGAACATGAAATGCTGGGTGGAGGTCTCAAAGCTTTGAAATCCACCCCTCAGAAACTGCACCCCTGTAGTGTTTGCTGCCAGGAAGGACTGAAAGCCTGAGTCCAGACACTTTGAATCAAGAAACTTCTACAGTCTCATTCTCACCACAGAAGTGAACTGCTGGACAGGGTCTGTAAGCATCGAGAACAACAGCCAGAGTGACTGGCTCCCTCTATTCTCCTTCCTGCCAGTGAAAAAGTCAGCACACTTTTGCTTCCCCCACTTTCCAAGGACTGCAGAGGGTGCCCCTAATCTAGGATACTTGTTGCCCAAGGGGGACACACATTATGGGAGCAAGTGGAAAAATGTGAGTTCCACTGTAAAGGCTGTAAAGTTACCCATGGCCAGCAGTGTCATCAAGTACACAAAGGAGGGAATCTTTTCTTTGAAAGTAGCCCAGAAGCAGACAACTGACACGTATGCAAGAGACTCAGGCTAGTTTTACTTGATTTGAGTAGTGCTAGAATTCAAGCCCAGTGTCTAGAATGCATAAAACTTCTTGGACACCATTAAAAAACCAAACCTATGAATCATGGGCATAGAAGAAGGAGAAGAGGTACAAACCAAAGGCATAGAAAACATGCTCAATACAATAACAGTAGAAAACATCTCAGTTCTTGAGAAACAGATATTCATCTTGGTACAGGAGGTTTTCATGACTCTAAGCAGATAAGACCAGAAAAGAAGTTCTCCAAGTCATACTATAAATAATGTTAGGGAGTGGAGGTGTGGCTCAAGTTGCAGAATGCCTGCTTTGCAAGTGTGAAACCCTGAGTTCAAACTCCAGTCCCACCAAAAAAAAAATTGCAATAGTAATTAAAACATTAGGCACATGGAACAAGGAAAGATTATTGAAAGCTATAAGAGAAAAACTCAAAGGCACTGATTAAAGACAACCCAATCAGAAGAACAGCATATTTCTTAAGAGAAACTTGAGGGTACATAATGATGTATTTCAAGCCCTGAAGGAAAATAACTGCCAACCTAGATTACTGTATCTAGCAAAGCTATCCTTCGTAATTGATGGTGAAATAAAAACACTCAATGATAAAAAAAATCAACACAAAAACTGAAGTAATTTATACTAAGCCAGCACTGCAAAAGATACTTAAAGGACTCCTACATACAGAAGAGGAAGTTAAATGCAACCAAGAACATATGGGACAGAATAAATCACACTATATGAGTAGATAAGCAACTGAGAAGTACAAAGTATAAGACACTACAAAAATAACAAAATGCCATGAATTACCACATAACTTTAAAAAATAACTTTGAATGTTAATGTTCTCAGTTCTTTAATCAAAAGACATAGACTTATTGAATTAAAAAACAAGACCAAAACATTTGTTGCCTACTGGAGATATACTTCACTGGCAAATATAAACAAAGACTCAATGTGAAGAATGGAAAAAGATTTTTCCAATTAAACAGAGCCTGAAAGCAAGACAAAGTAGCTATAATCATATCTGACAAAAAAAAGATGCCTTAAACTAAAATTAGTTGGAAAAGACAGAGAAGTTCTCCTTGCATTGATAAAGAGAATAATCCATCAGGAGGATACAGAAATTTTAAGCATAAAATTTCTGCACGTACGTTTACTCAATTGATGGATGGAACTAGAGAACATCATTTTAAGTAAAGTTAGCCAGGTTCAGAAATCCAAAGACTGCATGTTCTCTCTCATATGTGGAATATAGCCCCAATACAAATACAAGCAATAACCTGTACACATATAAATACTCACAGAACATGTACCCAAAAGTGGGACTGGTAGAGGAGACAAAGAGAGGAAGAAAAGAAGGAAAGAAAGAAAGTGAACAATAATGAAATACATCACATCTCTGTAGGAACAGAACACAATCAAAGACACTGGAAACCACTGAACAACACAGGCTAGGGGAAAGAGTAAGGAAATGCAGTGAAGAGGGGGTTAGACTGACTTTAGCACAATACATTTACTGGTAAAATGCCAGTGCAAAATTTCCACTTAAAGAATGAACAGAAACCTAAACAATGAAGGACAAGAATGTAAAACAGGTCATGCTAAGGGGAAGGCACTAATGAGAGGAAAGGGTAAGTGAAGAAAGTAAAGAAGGTGAATATGGTTAATGTACTTTCTGTACTACCATACATTCAAACCTGTTGAAATCACCATAAGAATAGGACTTAGGTAGAAAGGAGAATAATGGAAAGAATGAATCATCAGGACATAATACATACATAAGGAAATGTCACAATGAAACTCCCTGTATAATCATCAGAAACAAAAGGTCTTTCTTTAAAAGACAATGAAGGACAGGAAGGTAAAACAAGTTCTGTCCAGGGATTATACCAGTGGGAGGGGTGAGGACATAAGGAAAGGGAGAAGAAGGATGACTATGGTGTAGTACTACATATTCATGTATGAAAATGGAACAATGAGATCTGTTGAAATTGTTCTAAGAAAGGGGGACGGGGATAAAGGAGATAGATGGAGGGTGAATCTAACTAAGATATATGGTAAGCACTTTCATAAATGCAACAATGCACCCCTGATACAACTATAATATGCTAATAAATTTTTTAAAAGGAAAAAGATGCAAATGCTACTACACATAAAAAAGTATAGATCGACCCCAACATAACAATTGTGGGTAACTTTAACATTCACTTCACCAATTTATGACCATGTAGATCATAGATATACACACACACACACACACACAAACCAAGGAACCTTCAGAATTAAAGAACTCCATAGATCAAATGAATTTAACAGACCTCTATAGTATATTCCACTTACTAGCTACAGAATGCACATTCTTCTCAGCAATTCACTGAACTTTCTCCAAAAAGGATCACATTACAGGATATTAAGAAAATCTTAACAAATACAATAAGACTAAAATAATGTACTCTATTTTATCAGACCACAATGGACTAAAGCTAGAAATCAATAACAAGGGAAAATACACAAAATATTCACAACATAGTGGCTAAAAATTCACTTTTGAATGATCTGGGGTTATCAAAGAAATAAGGAGGGATACAGAAAAATTTCTACAATCAAATGTAAGTGAAGACATAACATATCAGGCCCTTTGGCACACAGTAAAGGCAATACTAAGAGGAAAGTTCATAAGTATCAATATTAAAAATTCAGAGAGCTTTCAAATATATAACCTAATCATATACTTCATGATTAGAAAAACAAGAACAAGCCAAACAGCAGATGGAAAGAAAAAACAAAGAGCAGGGCAGAAATTAACAAAATGGAGACTAACAGAGCTATACAAAGAATCAACAGAGGAAATAGTTGGTTCTTTGAAAAGATAAACAATATTGATAAGCTCTTAGTCAAATTAACCAACACAAAGAGGGAAAAGACCCAAATTAAAAAAATAAGTGATGGGAAAGGAGATATGACAACAAATACCAATGAAATCCACATGATCATTAGGGAATAATTTAAAAAGTTATATTCTAACATACTGGAAAATCTAGAAGAGATAGATAAATTTTTAGATGGATATGACCTACCTAAATTGAACAAAGAGGACATGAAACACCTAGACAG